CCCCCTCTCCCCGCTCCAATCCATAACTACTATCTCTTCTCTACACTTCATTTAGATTCAATTCAGCACTGGTTATCAGCGGTTTTATCAATATTGATACTTTTTATGTGTTTCTTGCAGTTATGCAATGCAGAAAACGCATAATGACGAGGGGTTGTCTGCGTGTGTATTCTGTGTGTTCGTCTGTACCGATTTTTCATCACAAGACCGGCAGAAGCTACAGGGCTGAAACTTTGGGGGAAATTTTTTTCTAACGGCCAATTTTTAATTTGTTTGGCTAGAAGCATTTGCCGGGAAAACCGGTGCTGGTAGCAACAAAAACTGTGGGGAACTATGCAAAAAACGCATCTTCACACGGGCAGCCCGTGCGTTGGCCAATTATTAAAACTGTCCTATCACTACCACTAATTCTTAACCTTCCCTAACCCACAATTTTCATAAGCCAGTGGCACTTAACTCGAAAATTTCAGGTTTCTCGCATAGCAAACGCGCTTCCAAGGAATAACGGCTATGCTCAAACATCAATTGTATGGTTCTTTGCTTTCTGATGCAAGAAATAAGCCAACAGTACCTGTACTGGTTTAGTTGGATAAGTTGTTGGCGATGGTTCCGGGAAAGGCGAAGGCAGCACGGGCCTTAAATTTAATTCTGGGAAACGATTTGTCGGGAAACGATGTCGCATCATTCGCAAGCAACGATTGATATTTTCTCGTGGTCCTCTCACCGTACAAATCTGATGAGTGGGGATCTAAAAAATGGACAGAACTGTCAGCGGATATCAAAAATCTTTAAAAATCCGACGATTCTTGATTCATTCTCAATTCTAAAGAGTAATCTTTAAAATGCTGCGTTAATTTAAATGAAGCAGGCACTGCTAACCTTAAATACCTCAGTGGTAAGACGAACGAATGAATCGACTTGATTTCCATCTTTACCGGGGTTATTCAACAAAATTAACGGTTATCATAAATTTAATATAGAGGTTTGTGATCAAAAACCAAAAAAGGAAATCCTCTTTGCCTCTCTCTTCCAACTCTTCCCGTCCTCTGCTCCCCGTACCCCCTTTCTCCCCTTCCCCTCCTCCCTCCTCTCCAACTCCCTTCCCTACCCAGCTTTTCCCCCTCACTCTCCTTTACTTCCAATATGCCGCTTTTTCGGCAAAATAATGGAAGAGTTTTAAGTTTTATTTCAGTGTGAGAGCAAAAATCATCCACAAACCAAGGGTTACAACTTCAAAAATCATGCCTAGGACCCTGTAAGCTCACCGCCTGCACCCCGAACAAAGCGTAAAAATTCGTGTGGCTCCAAAAGCTCTCAATATTACAAGCGCATTATAATTTCAATTACTATGAGAGA